AACTTTTATGAAATTCGATATTAACACGTTGACCGCCACGCCGAATTCACATCTTTTGCTCAGGGTGCCACGAAAATATTTTCATTATTCTAAGGATATAATGATAAAATAATAATAAATATGGGTATATAAGATCACAACCTTATCCATAGAGCGTCTATCTTGATGGTGGTTATGGGTGACCACCGTGGCGCCTTGGTGCACTCGATTATACTTGATAACTGTTTTGGAATATTTACTTACATTATGACTATTTACGATGCTTGCGCAATATGGCCAGCCTCATTTATGCTTGAAATGTTTTAATACAATACGTTAGATAGAAAATTTGATAAAAATTAAACTTTTACTCCTCCAAACAAATGCACTTATGAAATAAAGTTATACATAGTGGTTAAACATAGCAAATTAAATGTAATATGAGATAAATTGAGTGTGCTAAAAAATTTTTGTTCCGTTTTACAAACGGAATAGCGCAACTATTTTCTGTAATAAAATATATAATGTTCTAATTAAAATTCTTCATTGTTGAATAGTGCACTTTTTATTTCAAAATATTCTTTAATTAGCTATGATGTTTAAAATTCGTTAGCTGATGATGTTCATTCAATTTTTACAATTATAAACATTTGAGGCACTCCGGTCATTGACGACCACCGAGGCGCCACAGACAAGACAATGGTCACATGTGACCAACGTGGCAGTCAACGAGTTAATTATCAAATATTTAGGTCGCCTGCAGCATGAACGACTTTTATAGAGTTGAATCAATTAAATAAAATAGTAATTGCTACCAAATATTTAACATCTGTTATCAAAATGATTGATAATTATTATTAGATAAAAGATATTTGGTAAGTTTTACAAAATCTGGTAAGTATTACCAAATTTGGTAAGTATTACAATTTGGTAAGTATTACAAAATTAATATTAGATAAAAAATATTTGGCAAGTATTACAAAATCATTCACTCCCATTCTTATAAAATATTTGTTAACTATTAGTAATATTTATGACTGCTCTCTCTCTCTCTCTCTCTCTCTCTTTCCTTCACTTACTCCTTACTTTTCTCCTCTTTCTCCATACAAAGACACATAAACACGAGATATGAAGGCATGACGGAAGCTTGTAAGACTTGTCGGTTTCTGTCTTGTAACTGAAGTAAAACAGCACGGATCGCATTAATTGGATGGATGAGTAATCACTACGAGGTTGAAACTTCGGATGTCCTTTGCATATGAAGTGAAAAATGTACATCAAAATAAAATAGGAATGTTTAAGTTATTTTAAGATAATTTACGTAGAACGATAAAATGTTTTTAATAAAATGATGATAATTATCTAAAACAATTTTCCTTAAGAACTATATATTTAGTGATACCAAATATATCTCATTTTCTGCTATCAAGATTTGAGTATTAATTACCAATGTTTAGTTTAATGACCTAAATGTATAGTTCAAGCAACTAAATCTTAATTCTTAAAGCTGCATATTTATTTCATCTAATCAAATCATTTCGTAATTGTTGCCGAACGTTTGGCCCACAATATTTCATCGAATTATTCAGTAACAGTTAATAAATTTTTTTATATATTGCTAAATCCTCCTTTCAGAGTATCAATGAGACGGTCGCATTTGTTGTTGCGTGTACTTGCTTATTACACAATTTACAACGTAATTTCTCCGTAGCCGCGCAGGTAGCGCGCTATAAAAGAAGTGTAGATTAACAGAAGACTTCCGTGCCGAAGTTGAACGTTTTGGTAAGAAATTCCGTACCCACTCTCAAGACAAGGTTTGAAAACATTGGCCGTTCGCGTGAGCTACTAACGCGGTTTGCCTTCGCGTCCGGAGAGGAGGAACTTGAAAACTCCTGCTTTCTCTAAGCGAGGGACGGTAGGAAACTTTTCGCTGGATTTATTATATATTTCCGACCCAGTTTCCCAGTGAAAAACAGCTCCTATTCTCTCGCGGCGATGCGAACTCCGTGCGACCGTTTGCGCGCGCGTTCAACGTATGGGAAATTCGACAACGCGATTTCTGTCTGATAAGAAAGGAGAAGAGAACCGGTGCTTCGTGATAAATAGCGATTGGCGTAAATCGTTATCGTACGTCCGTGCGTTGTGGAAAAACGAGAGTAATTCCTTCGGGCTGTTGGATCGAACATCGAAATGCTCGGCGAATTCGTTGCCGATTCTCGTAATATTCTCGTTTCCTCGAAACGCGGATAATTGAGCACGAATATCGCCTTAAATTGCCTCGAGTCGAAATTTTAATGCTACTTTGATTGATTGAATGTATAAAATTCTTACACGGTAATAAATATCGGTAATAAATCACGTTAAAGTAGGTTTTCATTAATTTATCTGGGCGTAAGTTATGTTAGGGAAATCAAAGTAGCATTAAAATTTCGACTCAAGATTGTACATATAAGCGGAAAATTGTTTGGATAATATATAGCATATTTGTTAGATAATATAATAAATTCTAGATAATATAGCATATTTGTTAGATAATAAGACATACTAATATATTAGATAATATTATTAATACTTTGATTGATACCCGATTGTAACATATTATGAAAATAATAAATGTTCCAAATAAAAAAACGGCAGAAATGAATGCAACCCTCTAATATGTTCTATCCTATCCGAATGAGGCTGTTATGATACATATATTTTTGCGAAAAGTTCTCTGCGTGCAGTTGTAGTAAATGCATAGTGTTTCAAATTTGCAACATACTTAATTTTCCTCTTTGTCGAGATCAAAGGCATACCTAAACGTGGAAGACCAAATTATTTCTTAGAACGAAATATACAATCCAAAAGGCACAAAGACAATGCTCAACATATGCCTCAGATTTTTTTTAATATTTTTCTCATTTTCTGGGACTACCTGTGAACCTAAAAAAAAAATAATTCAGTAATAAAAAAAATACATGCATTTAAGGGTTAAGGTAGGGAACGGTAACGAAATATGCGAAAAATGTTGTTGACCCACGCTTTACCCGCTCTCTGAAACGGTCGGTTCAATTAAGGCGAGTATCGCCTCGATTTATCCCCCCGACATTTAGGTCGTCGGTGATAAATATAAATTCGACCGTCCAACGGTGTGTAAATATTGCCCATCAAAACGACCCCAATAGAAGGCGTCTCGTTTATCACGATCGTACGTCCTCTTTGAAAACAGACAACTCGGTCGCACTCGTATCCTCAGTGTTGTACCGACTCCGGGAGGGCGAAAGTAAAGAACGAAATTCGCGCAGCGTAGGAGCGTACGCGGACGACAGCGTGGAATAAAACCTCGGACGAACTAAACCAATTGCGTGTCACCAGCTGCGCTAATCCGACTTTGAACTCATAGAGAGAGAGAAAAGCCGTACGAAGACCCGTTGCTTTTTCAAGCGTCAAAGCCGTTTCCTTCCTAGGCGGTCTCTCCGCTTCAATCTGAAAGCTCGGCAACGATGACGATGCGTGCAACGCGTACTTTATTCGCAGATTTAGAAGTTTCCTTAATACTTCCACGAAATACTACAAATCTGCCTTAATCGGGGTCTACGATAAGAATTTAAGCTCTAAGCCTTGAGAAACTGACCAGTCACAGTCGAATGTGAGGTGAATAATCGACTGTGATTAGTCCATTTCTTAAAGCTTAGAGCTTAAATTCTCATTGGAAACTGACCAATCACGGTCAAATTATAGAAGAATAATCAATTGTGATAGGTCAATTTCTTAAATCTTACGCCTTAAGAAATTGATTGATCATAGTCGAATGTAAAGAGAATAATCAACCGTAATTGGTCAATTTCTTAAAGCTTCGAGCTTAAATTCTCATTGCAGACCCAACTTTAGTTCTAGTTTACACCGGATACTTTAAGCCTCAAGCTTTAAGAAATTGATCGATCACTGTCGAATGTGAGGAGAATATTCGACCGTGACTAGTCAATTTCTTAAAGCTTAGAGCTCAAATTCTCATTATAGACCCAACTTTAGTCCTAGTCCACATTAGATGCTTTAATCCTCAAGCTTTAAGAAATTGACCAATTACAATCGAATTACAGAAAGATAATCAATTGTGATAGGTCAATTTCTTAAATTTTACGCCTTAAGAAATTGATTGATCACAGTCGAATGTGAGGATAATAATCGACCATGATTGGTCAATTTCTTAAAGCTTAGAGCTTAAATTCTCATTGTAGACTCAACTTTAGTCCTAGTCTACACTGGATGCTTTAAGCCTCAAGCTTTAAGAAATTGATCGATCACAGCCGAATGTGAGAAGAATATTCGACCGTGATTAGTCAATTTCTTAAAGCTTAGAGCTCAAATTCTCATTATAGACCCAACTTTAGTCCTAGTCCACATTAGATGCTTTAATCCTCAAGCTTTAAGAAATTGACCAATCACAATCGAATTACAGAAAGATAATCAATTGTGATAGGTCAATTTCTTAAATTTTACGCCTTAAGAAATTGATTGATCACAGTCGAATGTGAGGATAATAATCGACCATGATTGGTCAATTTCTTAAAGCTTAGAGCTTAAATTCTCATTGTAGACTCAACTTTAGTCCTAGTCTACACTGGATGCTTTAAGCCTCAAGCTTTAAGAAATTGATCGATCACAGCCGAATGTGAGAAGAATATTCGACCGTGATTAGTCAATTTCTTAAAGCTTAGAGCTCAAATTCTCATTATAGACCCAACTTTAGTCCTAGTCCACATTAGATGCTTTAATCCTCAAGCTTTAAGAAATTGACCAATCACAATCAAATTACAGAAGAATAATCAATTCTAATTGGTCAATTTCTTAAGGCTTAGAGCCTAAATTCTCATTGTAGACTTCACTTTAGGGGTTGAGTGTCATATGGCCGGCAATAACCGCGTAAACGCTGCGGCGAAAACACATTTGTGTGTGTATATGTGTATATGTGTGTGTGGTACGCACGTGTGCGTGGAAAACTAATCTAGAAGACCAGTCTAACTATTCATTCTCAATACCGAAGGGTTAGTCAGGACGATCACGGCTGCCCTCAGATGCTTCAGATTAAGCGTCTGCGTGTCCTCGAGGTCGTCGTTGTCCTCGCCGAGGAGCGACGACGTGATTTGGACCGACGGCTGCCGCGGCGGCTTGCCTCTCTCATCCTGCCGGATCCTCGCGAGCCTCCGGTGCTCCCCTTCCCTGTTCCTCTCGTCTTTGTGGACCGACTTAAAGCGCCCGGCGGAGAACGGACATGCCATCTTGTCAGCAGCAGCGGATCCGCCGTTCAATCCGCTCTTTATTCCAGTCCAGTGGACTGCTTCTTCCCGAGCGTCAACGAGGGGGAAGGGGTGGGGGGACGAGGGGGCGATCTCAATTAACAAGAGACATGCCGCGCGCGCGCCCGGATTGGTGTTTATTAGCAATCAGCTGGCAGCTCCACGATCTTCGGTTAATCTCGGTGCGAACGTGGTGCTCCTCTGTGCTCCTCCGTTCGTCCCAGCTCTCTCACATCACGTCGTCCTAAGCAACGCTCGGACACGTGATTTCCCGAAAGCTCGTCGTCTTCGTCCTCCGCGTCGTTTTTATTGTCGTCTCCGTTGCGATGTTGCCGACGATATCGATGCTGGTGACGACCGAGGGGTCCGTCATTCTCAATCGTCCGGTTATCGCTGCCCACCACTACGGGGGAAGCCTCTTCTTCGCCACCGCAACCTTACCGGCGCCCACGCTTTACCTGGCTGCGTCTACCACCGCCGAATCGGTGCACATGGTGGTCGCATTTTAACGCGGAGGATCCGCGACCCGTAAGGCCACGTTGAAATCCTCCTCTCTCCTCCCAGGGTTTCGCGCTCGTTCCCGCTGCGGTTCTCCGGTAATCGAGAGGTGTTCCTCCTATCTCTGGCTTCTCTTTCTCTCTCCGCTCGCTACGTTCACATTCGCGTCTCAATGTCCTGCGCGACGCTCTCGGGAAACTGTAATTCGCGCGCGAAAACTCACTCCAGAGGGTTGCGGAGGGTTACAAAGCGCGACGCTGGATGAACGCTAGAAACGCGACACGACGAGGACGAGAGCTGCCGTACGTTACCGTGCCGGAGCGCGTGGCGCCATACTGCTCGCGGATTGACCGAGGCGCGACGAGCAACGGAGCTCGGTGGCGGAGAGGAGGGAGCGACGAGGAAGGCGAGGAAAGCGAGGGTGAGTCGCGACGGTGTAAGGGAGGAGGGTGGAGGCGCCACGATGGAGGATTGCCGAGACGCCTGCGCGTGTTTTCCTTCTTCTCTCTCTCTCTCTCTCGAATCATCGCGTTTTCTCTCCTTCACGTTCGTAGTTCACAGGGAGAGAAATCTGCCTGCCTGCCTGCCTGCTTACCTGCCTGTCTGCCTGCCTGCCTGCCACTCGTCCACTTTACCTGGTTGACCTACCTCGTATCTCTCCGCTAACAATTTTCGCCGTACGATCTCGCCTTGATTTTCTAAAAATTGTTATAACACCTGTTTTGAATCATTTGTGATTTTGAACGCGAAAATGTCCCAAGTAGAAATTCATCAAGTTTCTGACCGTAACTGACCACGAATTCTAGTAACTAGCTAGTTTTTGGCTAGTTTTCTTGGCTAGAAACTTATAGGTTTGGTCAACGCTCACTTCGTCAAAAACTGGACAGCAAAATTACATCAGTTTATCATTACATCATTACTAATCAGTTTTCAACTAGATTTTGACCAGTTTCTAACCAGTTTCTAAGCAATATTTGACTAGTTTCCAAGCAGTTTTTGGCTAGTTTCTACAAACCATTTCATACCATTTCTTTCTAATTTTTATAAGCAATTTTAAATCAGTTTCTGATCAGTTTCTAACCAATTTGTAACTTTTTTTAGCATTTTCTAACTAGTTTATAAATAGTTATAATTAATTTAACTGTATCTGTGTTGCAACAACAATTTGATTAGAATTTAATTTTTATAATTTTTATTTTTTCTATATTTCATATAATATTTTCTTTTCTTTTATTATTTTTCATTCTTATCATCTTCATCATTTCCGAAAACTTTTCTACTCGGGATGCTCAATTAAACTTTGCCCAAGAGAGACACGTATTCCCGGATATTTGTAATTTGTCGGACATCCGAAGTAGTAATTTTTACTCGATAAAATTAAAAATCGGTGAAGACGAAAGTAGACGGGTGTAGTTGGCGTTGTTTTAATGCATTAAGGGAAAATAAATTTGTCACTCGTAAGAGGAAGCATAGATACTATCGTTACCGCGGTAAAGCGCTGAAACGGACAGTATCAAGTCATAGATGTAACAAACGGAGAGTATAAAGGAAGGAATAGATGAGTTTGGTAACGAAGTTTGTACGGCACTTTTCCGCTTCGTCTCTACACTCGTTTCGCGGGCAGTAGGATCGGATAACCGTCTTGACAATCGTACGACAATTTGGAGCGATCGATCTATGCCATTATGATGAGAAACGTTGCTTTGTGCCGCGGATGAACGTCAGCAGCGGCACATTGAAGAGAAAATCGGTCGGTTAGGCTTCATTGTCCGCGAGAGTCCGACGGAAATGTGCTGTAAATTAAAATCATTTCGTCAAGAGATGCAAAAATGCCGGCAGACAACGAAATAAATAAAGAATGCGTCTCGAACGAACGAGAGAGAAATGAAGAATGCGCGCCTCTCGTCGCGTTGCTAACGCGCGTGAGTGAACTGAAAATTAAAGAACTGGTAATACTTACTTACTAAATGCATTTAGTTAGAGATTTCGACGGAATATTTGGTAACTGGTGTGAAATTTGATATTAATTACAAAGTATTTTGTTAGTCTGCAATATGAACGAATTTTATTCCGAGTTGAATCAACTAAATAAAATAATAATTGCTACTAAATATTTAACATCTGTTATTAAATGTTTGATAATTATTATTAGATTATTATTAGATATTTGGTATGTACTGCGAAATCTTTCACTTCCATCCTTATAAAATATTTGTTAACTATTAGTAAATATTTACGACTCTTCTCTCTCTCTCTCTCTCTCTCTTTCTTTCTCTCAATCTTTCATTCTCTCTTTTTTTCTTTCACTCACTCATTTCTTTTTTTCTCTTTTTCCATACAAGGATACATCATAAACAAGAGATATAAAGATTGTAAGACTTGTCGATTTCTCTGATCAATGAAGTAAAACAGCATGGATTGCGGTCTAGTAATTGGATGGGTGACCATTACGAGGTCAAAACTACGGAGGATTTCTTCACATATGAAGTAAAAGAAGAAATATCACCAAAATGAAGTTAAAAATGTCAAGTTATCTTAAGATAATTTACGCAGAACGATAAGATTCTTTTAGTAAAATGATGATAATTAACTAGAACAATTTTTCTTACAGGCTATACGTTTAGTAATAGCTACCAAATATATTTCATTTTCTGCTATCAAGATTCGGTATTAATTACCAAAGTTTAGTTCAATGATCTAAATGTATAGTTCAAGCAACTAAATCTTGATTCTTAAAACTACATATTTACTTCATCTAATCAAATTATTTCGTAACTCTTGCCGAACGTTTGGCCCCGCAATATTTCACCGAATTATTTAATAACAGTTACCAAATTTTGTCATATATTACCAAATCCTTCTTTCAGTGTGCAACTTCGGAAAATTGAAAGAAATTAATATTTGACACGCAGCTTTCTTCTATTTCCTCCGTGACAACGTCGTTCCTTATCCAATATATATACTCTTGAGAAAAATAATTGCCCAGTTGCGACTAAATGAAGGTAATGAGGATATAAATATCACTCTAAAAAAATGACGTATTGGACGTCGCAGAATTAGCGGGTTAAAATCAACAGTATTCGCACTCCGTTTTTCAAATTTCAGGAGCTGCTGGCGCGAACGCGTAGACCCACGTCTATCTTCTGTCTGCCGTCTTTTCGTACACTGAAAAAAGATTCGTTACTAAATAATTCGATGAATAAGTACTAAAATTTGGTGCATATTTGCATGTCAAACATTTGATTATTCCAACCAAATGATTTAGTTCCACTTACTATACATATAGTTCTATAATTCCATATATTATATATTTACTATACGGAAACTAAATTTTTTTGTTGCAGTAATCAAATATTTGGTCGGAAAATATTGACCACATTTTAGTAGTTATTACCAAATCCTTTTTTCACTGTATTCCTTATATCTTTTATTACTAGGGAAATTAGCGAGAATAGTCGCCATACACTTATTATGTAGCGTGCAGTGTCGCGTTTGAGTTTCCGAGAATTAAGAATTAGACTCGACCGGAACTATAACGAGAAATGTTCTAGTCTGCGTTGTTGCAATAATATAAACGTAACCTGTAAACTGCCGGCTGTACTACTAAACTATTACGACACACATATACATTGTGCAGAGATTACACATCTAATTAATTAAATGGGCGTGAAAATTACTATACAAGTTTGCAAACATGCGCACAATATTAACGTATGGATTACAGGTACGCGTAAATCACTTCATTAACGGCCATGGACAACATTAATCCGTGTGTCAAAGGAACGTGTAATACCTTTCCTCCCCTCGCTTCTCCCCAGCCCCCCTTTTCCCGGTCACTAGGAACAGAATTACGTCATAACTATTAGCGCATTCGAACCATATTTTGGGCAGCGTATATCGAAATGTACGATACGAAAACGCGATTTGTGAAATTTGTGCTTTCCATTTGCCGGATTAACTCCTTCATTCGTCAGACATGAAACTTGAATACACATCTCCGTGATTTTCCCCTCGCAATATGCGAATTCTGTTTTTGTCTGACTCTTTTATCCCTCTCTCTCTCTCTCTCTCTCTCTTTCTCTCTCTCTTTCTCTATTTTTCTTTCTTCACTGCGCGACGATATGAACAGCAAGTTTACTTGCCGTGAAGGCTACACTTCACTACTCGCTGTATTTGCTCGCGCGATGTTTCGCCAACATTAGAATTTTTTCTTACGTATATAATTTCAAAACAATTCGCTTTTATCGCGCTCGCAACTTTGCGGAAGATAAATCGTTCTGTTTTAAAAATAAACGCGTCGAATTAAAAAAATATATACACCATTAAATATTAAAAGATAATATTAAAAGATAATATTATAAGATTGATTATTTATAAGATAAATAGTCATTTCGTGTAAATTTTTAATAATCGCTACGCAAGGTCGCTGATTACGAATCTGATGTCAGAATTAGAAGATTTTCAAAATTCAAAACGACAGTCCAATATGGCAAACTAAAATTGCAGCAAATCAAGAGATTCTCTTCAAATGTGGTATATAGAAAGTTTTCGGGTCGTTGATTACGAATTTGACAAAATTCGGAATGTTGAATACAAAATAGTGGTTAAAACATGCAAAAACTCAGTGTCTATGGCTTTCAAAGCTTCCGAGTATAAATTGTGAAATGCGATAATGCGATAACGAATTAGAGGGATTGAAATTATATTAATCTGCAGCGTAGACAAAATCTTGCTTATACCAAATTTAAAGTGATTCGATTGATTCGCTGCAATTTTGGCCCTTCGTATTGGATCTGCCGTCTTAGATTTAAAAAGTTTTTCAATTTTGACCTCAGATTCGTGATCAGCGACCCCGAGAACCCCCGGGTATAAAATTTGATGAAAAATAAGCGGGAGGAAAAATGTATACTTCAAAAGGTTAATTGCGCGTTTACTGGTAACGTTTACGTTCGTTTAAAGAGAGGAGAAACATAACGCGCCAATCGCAGTAGCCAGAAGCGACATGAGCGCAAAAATTACCTCAAAGAGAGACTCATAAAGCCCGATAATCAATAACTGCGAGCGTTGGCGTCGGGATTACCGAGTCGTTATCACGATGGTAAAAGCGTGATTTCTATTAACAATCCGACCGAAATCCGTGTTTTCATCGAGTCTCGAAATTCCACACGGGAATTGATAAAACGTGTTCGAATTTACTTACAGAGGACGCGATTATCGATTCGTCCCTCCGGCGTGATTTGAAATATCGTCGAATAAAGAAACATATGTACATCTATATAAAAATATGCGTTAAAAAATATGAGCATTTTGCTGGATGAAAAAACTAGCCGCT